GGTTTTTTTTTTTAAATTTTTAAAATTTAATTTAGTTATTTTATTTTTGAGAAAGGAAAACGAGACAAATTTAAGCATCTAATTTGGAAATTCCCTGGAGCAAACAGTAATTATGAACACATTTTTGCCTCAAAATCTAAGTATTTAATATTAAAATCAGCCAGGAAGTCATTATCAGACTGCCCTTTTTTTTTTTTTTTTTAACTGTAGAATCGGCTCTGTGAACAATGAAACAGAATTTTGGCCCAAAATGAATATTTAAAAGACATACAAGACCAGACTTGGCTTTTTCCCACTCATGAGAAGAAAGAATTCCTGCATTTTTGCTGTTAAAAGTTACAAAGTTCTGCTCACGTTGGCCAAAGTAATAACAGAATCCCTGGTCATCCTAAAATATAGCTAAAGTTTGTTTTGGCATTTTTGTTTGATATATTCATGCTGTTATTTTCAGAAATGCTTGTATATATCTCTTAAATAAGTCTCACCTCACTAAACAGAGACTCTAGTAAAGGTTCTCAGTATTTTACCCAACTGTGCGAGGTCTATTCGGGCCCATTCATGGTGCTTTAGTCTTCCTCTTAATAAAAAGCAATCATTTGGGGAATACATTTTCCAGGCAGTTCCCCTGCCTCCCAGGGAAAATATTTTGGCCTCCCAGTGACCATAGGATTCAAAGACTTGACAGGGAAGCCCTAGAATTCTTGAAGAGCTCGGCCTCTGAAAGATTCATTGTTGTGGAATCTCCCTTTGAAAGAGACCACTTTATCTTGCTCCTAAACATCTATAGGACAGACATAGCCCTCTCTGAAAGGAAATTCTGGGTAATGTAGAAGAACAAACGTATGTAGGTAATCCAGTATGGGTAGTGTGTAATTTGAAGAATGATAGTTCCATTTTTATGGTTACCATAACAATCATACAGTTGTGCAAAAAATGTGTATAGCTTTTATAGAAGGGAGCTGGCACCATTGTAATGATTCTTCTCATATCAGAACAACTGTTTTCAGATCTGAAAAATAGGGGTGGCTTAACCCTTCCCCAGTTAGCTCAGCATGTTCCCTGAGAAGGCTCTTTGGAGCTCCAGGACTGTTGAAATGTATTCACCACTTACATTTGCATTTTAGCCTGATAAATGGATTGAGAATTAAGGATGATGATCCTTTCAACAGCAGGTTCTGAATTCCTAACTTGGGAATTCAAAGGATGAGAAAAAAAAAAAACTGTTCCTCAAATAGAGATGTAGGAGAGATGTCTAGACATAGTTAATTCCTTGACTTTGTAACTATTCTTAATTCTGTCCACTAGAATTTAAATCCGTTAAAGACTCGCCTTTACCCCATTGTGTTTGTCTCTGATAAAGTCATATTAAAATTTGGTTACAATTTCCATTTTATTTTTACATGTTAACTATGTCACTTCTGGAAATTACAAAATAAATTTAAAAGTATAGTATATTTGAGTGCATATATATCTATGCATATTCTTTCTTTGGCTATTTTTTCCTATTTTTGTACACCCTTTCCAAAAAAAAGTACTTGGGACGCGGCTTCTTCTGACATACTAAGGATTATCTACTTTGAATAAACTTGCTATCAGAACTCAGTATGTGACTTTTAGGTTAAGGATTTAAAAAAAAAAAAAAAGTCACATTTGGATTTGGTACCTAAAAATGAAGTCATTGTAACTTACTCAACCATAGAGGAAATTTTCCTGAAAGAAATTTGGGGTATATATTACTTCCGCCAAAATGCTTCTGAGGTGTTTAAATCTTAAGATAAAGTTTGGAACTAAGGGTGACTAGAAGAGATGTCAATTTCAATTGAAATGAAGCTTCTCAGTCTACTTCACTTCCTTTAACACTTTCTCTTGAATTCCTGTCCCATTAAATCAAAACTCTGCAGTTCCGTGACCTTTGGCAAGTAGCTTAATCTCTCTGAGCCACAGTTTCCCCATGTACAAAATGAGAACAAAAATAATATCCACCATTATTATAATTCTGTCCTCTCAAAAGGTGCTTTCTAGAAGATAGAGATAAAAGTGTTTTTAATGAGAGCCGGATATCCCATTATATTGAAGCCCTCTAATGTGTTGATATCTGTGAAGATTTTGTACATTGTATCAAATTCTTTATGCTTAAATTTTTAACACTCTTTATCTAGAGCCTTCAAGATTTGATCTCTCTGTGAGAGCATTTCCTGGAAGTTCATTACTATTTCATTTTGTCTGATTTCAAAACGTAATTTATATTAGTCTGTATTCTCATAGCCTGTTTTTAACCCCAATCGGATTTTTTAAATCTGGACTATAGGACATTCTGCTAGCAGAGATAAAAGGAAAAAGAGAGCTGTTCCGAGAGAGAGCTTTGGATAGAGAGACTTTCTGGGCCCAGTGGACTCAGCTGCTCTCATAGCTCGAACCGCATTCCGAACCTCTGTAGACCTAGACTGGAGACTTCTTGGAAGGAAAGTGAAAGAATGCAGAGGCCAAGCCGTCTCTGCTCTACATATAAAGTTTCTGGGTTGAGTTGTGCCCAGTTGCTCAGTGCCCTCAGGTCAACTAACTTGGTGGATTCTGGGCCTTTGCACAAACTGTTTTGTCCAAGTCTTTCTTCCCCGCTGTAACCCATGGTTCGCTTCCTCACCTCCTTCGGGTCATCTTTAAACGTCATCATCTCATTGGTGCCTAGCCTGGCTGTCCTAATTATAATCAGCCCTTCCAACCTGTCCCCCTTACTCTGTCCTAATTTTTGTTTCTTTCTTCTTCTTCTTCTCCTCCTCCTCCTCTTCTCCTCCTCCTCCTCCTCCTCCTCCTCCTCCTCTTCCTCCTCTTCCTCCTCCTCCTCCTCTTCCTCTTCCTCCTCCTCTTCCTTCTTCTTCTTCTTCTTCTTCTTCTTCTTCTTCTTCTTCTTCTTCT